ATAAGTGTGGGGGGTGTTGGGGAAAAACCTATATATATATATATAGGCGGTAGTAGCTTTTTTTAATGGCCATGGGTAGCAGTAATTGACCTCTAAATAACACAGCTGTTACATTTTAAGAAGGAGCAATACGGTGTTATGGGAAATGCTAAAGTGAAAGTCAAAACAACTTGTTTTTCAGCCTCTGCTCTCCCAGAGGCCTGACCCCTCAGTGCTTTGATTCTCCTTGCTATTTGGTTGAGGAGTCAAGTAAAAGGGATGGAATGTTGGAAAGTATGTTATATGTTATAAATTGTTCTAAAATTGTTTGCTATTGTAATGGCTTAAAATTGTGTACTTTCAAGAGGGAAATTTACCTTATGTCTAAGAAAGGACTTAAGTCTCCAAAATGATGTAAGGATTCAAGCAAATAGCATAAGTAGGTAAAAAAGGAACACTCCATAAGTGATGACAAAGCAAGAGCAGGGTGTAATGATACCATTCCTACTTCCACTTTTCTTAAGGTTTGATATGATAAGTGTGGGGGGGTGTTGGAGAAAAACCTTTAAGGAGCTGACTTTACTGTAGAAAATACTGATAGAGAATACCATTATATTTCAATATAGAACATTTTACTTTTTAAAATTCATTTACTCAATACCAATGAACAAAAGTTGACGTTAACTGTTTTCCATCTTCACTCAGGTCAAAATTAAAGGAAATAGCAGCAAATAAAAGCATGAAATAATGTCGTTAGACATTATAAATGCATCCCTCAGTGAAAGACTGAAAGCCTAGGAAGGAAAAGTAATTGTGGAAGGTCTGTCTCTATAACCCCTCAAAACAGATGGGACATGTTATGTTTGGTGATGCTGTATGACCCTATAAAACTTCTGTGTTTTAAAAATTTTATAACATACTTGCAGAATTAAAATAAGAAAATGCAGAAATGCAGAGAAATACTATTCCACTCATGACTTCCCTTAATAAATTGCATCATAATACAAATTGCATTTGTTAATCATTGGCATTTCTTTTGAGGATTCATTTGACTCATCAAGAGTGGAAGTTCTGATTGCTCGTGATGAAGCTCTTATAGTCTTTCTTGATTATTTTCTAAATTTGATGACAAACACCACAACATGTCTCAGCCAATTAGGCTTGTCAGCTTCCACTGAGGTCCCCAATCAAGTGTCTGACTTTGGAAATGACAGGACATCCTTATTACAAGTCATGATTCTTGGATAGAGATATGGCAGCCCATATGTGGCTGATGCCTTTCATGAAAAACAGTAAGAAGAAATCAATTTTAGTAGGAAATAACCCAGATGATGAAGTAAAGGCCAAGGGAAGGAATTCAAGAGTACCTTACTTCAAGTGAATGGGAAATTCAGTCAATTTATTAAATGAATACAATTTCTTATGAGCAAAGGAAGTTAAGTAAACAACAGGTAAGAAGAGTCATTGATATATAAATATAGTATTATAAGCTGTCTCTAAATGAAGCTCAAACAAAGGAAAAAGAAGGTGCCATGAATTTCAAACTGAAAACATAAATTAATCCCTGAAAAACAGCCACCTGTGTAAGTCATTATGTAAGTAAACTAACACATTCTGAGAGACAAGTAAACTTAAATGATTGGAGGACATTCTAGCTCATTTCTGCAGGGAATGGCAACCACATTCACAGAGATTATTTTCTTATTTCAGTAGCTAAATTCCTGATTTTTACCTTGTGTCTTTGATAGGCAGTATCATAAGAGAAAAAGAATAATTTGAACTTGTTAAAGCATTGCAGGAATGCTTCGAGTAAAATGTAGGTCTGATTTTACACTTTGCATCTTAATAGGGTTTTTCCTGTGCAAAGATTTAGGTCAGCTTCAAATAAACAGAGTATCCCAAAATAGGAAATATTCCCCACAAACTCACAGTTTGCTCATTTAGAGTAACTAGATTACAAAAATCATTCATAGAATTTGTCAATACTTTTAGTTTTTAAATGCATCTAAAATATGGGTTTGAGAGACACAGGGAATTTAGCATGAAAAATGAACAGAAAAAAAATGCTTCTTCTCTTGATGACAAAATTGATAGGGTCTGCCCACTTAGAAGTCAAATAGCAGCATGCACAGCTACAATAAATGATTATCTTTGCATTTTACCTTTGGGAGAGAGAAAAGTAATTCTAGATTTCCTGTGAAGAACACTGGTATTTCCTTGTTGAACTCAAAGTACATGGCATAAAAATCTAAGGCCACAGTGATTCAAAAATCAATGAAATGACAAATGTCAATATTTAAGTTATCCATCACTGAAGGAAAAAAATGGCATATGATATTGGACTGCTTTGATTTAGGAGATTTGGCAGAGCAAATTTTAAAATGTCTTAAACAAATGATAGCCAAAATAGGAATAGTTAAACTACATGGCATGGTGTGGGGAGACAAAGCAGAAGGTACAAATATATTGGGGATACAGTAAACAACACCCTCTTCTCTTTAAACCACACCTACCCAGGATTATGTATATGCAAATCTCACCAATTCCATTTGTTGCCAATGTATTTGCAGAACTCAAAATTTATCTATCTTTTAAGTCCCAAGCCTTGTAATAAAATGACACCATGTGATAGATATAAATAGGAGCAATTCTTATTACTTTCTTTTGTTTGGCTCTAAAATAAGCTATAATATGTATTAAATAAAATCCTAAAAGTTATTCTTAGAATCTTTTCAATAGAGCAAGTTTTTCTCTCTCTCGCTCTCTCTCAAACAAACAAAAAGCTGTTAAAAACATTTTTGCAGTAGTAAGAAAATACATAACTGTTGTCCACAGTCACATATTATTATATTAATTATACATACAGATAATTCTTAGCTGCCATCTTTAATCCTTATCCCTAAGAACTCTGTAAATATGACTTTAGCCTTACGTAAGTAGAAGACATTTCCCATTCCATTAACAACACCATAATTAGAAGTACATGCTATTTCATTAAAACTTTAGTAGGAGCTTGACTATATTTACCTAATTCATTGCATTTCACATAATATTTCCATTCAGCAAATACACTGGAAAATGTATTTTTATGTGAACATTGAGGGGATTGTCTTACAGTACATATTAGGTCATTTGACATGGTGGGGGGTAAGGGGATGTGGGCTAGGGTGGGTATGTGGTGATATTGCTAGTATACTCACACCCATAACCTACTTGTACTTCGCCTTTTTACTTCAACCACCTGACGTGCTGTCAATTTAGGTACTTCTGAGTCCTGATGTTTTAGAATTTATTTTAAACCAAAGGTTCTGCATATTTGTATTCTATGAATAATGTATAAGCAGGAAGAAATCCAATTGGCCAAAGTACACGATTTCTGAGATAATTTATAAATACAGAAGATTATCTATTTGGATTTAGTAACTTTTCTTATAAATGTGGAAAAATTTGTACCCATATAGATATACATATGTACTTTATTTCCACTTGGGAATACGCACCCATCCCTGTCCTGTAACAAATGCATCTATACCTGTCTGCTCTACACACTTAAACTTATCAGTCTGTCCACTCCTCTCTTTCTATAATATTCTATGGTTTTTTAAGACATCTTTAATGGAGATGAAATAGAAACTGCTCTAAGGGTTGATGAACTGCAGGGTATTGAGAAAAGGAAATAATTTGGTAAAGGAAATATATATATATGTATATCTCCCTCAAATTCATACAGATCAGAAAAGCCTATTGAGGAATGTCCAACTTTAATGGCTCCTTCTTTTTGAATTTCAGACTCACGACCTCTTCCAGATGTAGCCCTGACTGGGAAGTGTACTCGCGAGTGCGATGAATACGGCCACTCAGACTCCTGCTGGATGCCCGTCCGCACTTCTCCAGAGAGGAAGAAGAGCCAGCCCAAACTCTCCACTTTCATGCCTGTCGATGAACGAGGAAGCCAGGAAAAGCTGGCCAATGGTGAGGCCGCCATCATGGGCGACCGCAACAGAAACCTCCTGAACAAAAAGTTGACCTCATCCTATGAGACCTTCAGTGCAGCGAGTCTCAGCAAAAATGAGGAAGCCAACCCTGAGGATATTCCCCTTACCAGAACAGGAGAATACAAGCCATCTCCCGTCAATACTCTCACTAGAAGAGAAGTTTATCTGTAGGCTATAAAGAGCAACAGCAAAGTTCTTTTCATGTATGAGAAGGAGAATAAGGGGCAAAACCCTTACAGAGTAAAACCATTTAATCAAAAAGAGGGGGCTACCAAAGAGACAAAGCTCTGCCTGCCACTTCTGCCTCCAGATCAGGCCTTTAGTGATAATGTCAGCCTGATTGTAATGTACAATGTAGAAACCATCCTTGTTACTTGCATGTTGAACCCCCTCACTGATTATTCCCAGCACTCCCTCTCCCTCTTCCCCACCCTGCTCCAAAAAGAAGAGAGAAAAGAAAAAAAAAGATGGTTGCAAGTTTCTTTGATGGTAACAAGCCTGATGAGCAGAACACAACACACACTCATCATCCCTAAGCTGAAGCATGATTTTAGTCACTTTGATTTAGTTCAAATGTCAACTGGCTGGTCAATAAAAGCAGATACGGTAAAATGTGTTTCAGACATACCATCAGAATATGTTTAATCACCATAAAAGGAAATCCCTAAAAAAATGATTGAGTCCCCCTGAAAGTCCAGTCCCTATAAAGGGGGTCTCTATAAGAAACATCTTGGGAAGATCACAGTTTAATATTCTAACAAAGACTGAAAGCTGAACAGTACCCAGTTGGAGACTGCAATCCCAAATTGCACTCCTTTTCAAATCAGGACCATCAATCTCAATTCCATACAGTCGTCAAATATTCTTAGTATACACACAATCTTGATTGACCACATAAATCAAGTACACTAAAAACAACTTGTAAACATTATATATATATTTTTTCAGAACAGCACCAGTGTTAACAACTAACTGGAAAAATTGTGTCCTTAAAAGGCCAAAGATCATATGGCAGATCAGGGAATCATGAAGTAGGTTTGGTCTTGACATGGAAATCCGTTAAGCAACAAAAGCAGCTGAACCCATGGACTGAAACACTCCAACACTAGTCTACTTTACATCGTCTCTATACCCAAAAAACAGGCATTTCATTTTGAAATGGATTTTCATTGAAAGCTCAGATGAGATGTATTTTTGGTATTTTAATAGATAGTTAGTTGAGGTTCGACTTTAGTTTCAAAAAAATATCAGGGAAGATTCCACTTTTTGTGGGAATGTAGGGAAAGAAAGATACATGGCCATACAGTCTTATAACTTAAGTCCACTATTATCACTTTAAAATTCAGATTTTTCCTGTTGGTCTTATTATCCACATTTCAAATTACCAATTATATTTGTTTACATGTTCAGTGCATGCCTCCATATTACAAAAGTGCATTAATTTTGAATCCTGTGCAATGTAGCACTATTTTGAGAATCACAACATTGAAACAAGGTGACACCCTAATTGACTTTGTCATTAATGTGATTCAAACATTTTTTAATATATGTCTTAAGATAAATTCAGACTCAACATGATAAAATGAGTTCTGGGTAGTGACATGTCTCATAGTATGTACATCTCAAGGTTGGAAAATATGTAGCTTTTTTTTAGTGTAATAAAAAAACAGAATATGCAGAGTTGTGTCACTTTCTCTATAGAAGATGATTTAATACAACTGTAAATTGAGCTGGGATATTCAGACAAAAGTGACAATCCAGGGACAAAATAAGGGGTAACAGGTGAAGAGACAAACGTTCCCATCACTGAATGTTTGTAACCTGGTTAAGACAGAGCCTTGATGGCTCTCTAGCAAACTGTAGAAACAATGTAATTTTGGATAGTTTCATGCTTTGCAGAATTTCTTAGACTATAAGGTGAAGCAGCCTGGAATATAGGTTGTTAATTCACTATAGGTCATCAAAGCTTATCTTTGAAAACCACTTCTTTCGGGGGGTACTCTTTTGGGGCCATTTCCTTATGCTCTTTCTTAAATGGAGTTTTCATTGATGCTAGTTTATGTATAATAGTTAGGATGAAAGAGGATATGTAATTGAAACAAAAACATTAGACTAAAATATCAATAATTAAACATGTTTATGTTTGATTATTATTTACATTTTGGAAAGATGCAATTCTAGTACTTTGTTAGGAAACTGCATTAAAGCAGTTCTGCCTTGTATAATCTGTAAGTACCTATTAAGACAAAATACTTCTAAAGATACTTATGAAATGTATACATATTTTTTCTTGCACGTTACAAAGGAAATATTCAATTGCATAACACAGGTGTTCAAGAAACATTTTAATGCATTTTTTTTCATTCATGAAACACATGAAACCATTAGATAGCTCATTACACTGTATCTTAAAACCCTTCAGTTGTCTATAAAGCTAATACGGGTCATACTGGACCTTCAGATTAATTTGGATCCACATTCCCCAATTACATTCACACCACATTCAGGACAGTCATGTCATTGTCATTTAACTTGTGAGCCTCTCTTTAGAACTAAAATGGGTGTGAAAGAAAAAAATTCAGTGTACTGTAAGTATTCACAGTAATTCTAGTAGAATTAGCTATCATAACATGCTTATACAATGAACTGGCATGACACAGAAATATATTTTGTGTTTGTATGACTTTTATTTTGAATAGGTTAAATCTGGTGCCACTTCATATATAGAGTGCTTTTGAAAAAAAATCAATAAAAAGAAACAAAAAATAAATAAATGAGTGAATGCAAAATAAGCAACTGTGCCTTTTATACCTGTTGTTATGGTAAAAAAAAAAAAAGGTTGTTGGGTTTGGACAATGAGGGAAAATGGGCTATTCCCGACTTTTTGATCCTGTATATTTATCCATGTTTATTTTCTGGAAATAATAAATAATATATTAAAAATTTGCCTTCTGACAAACTCAGATAATGGACCAGTCTTAAATATCGTTCATTCATAAAAAAAAATTAAGGCATTGATATGGGTTGCTTAATTCTCACTCAAAGGCTAAAGCATTCATTGTGATAGTAACACAGACAGATATTATAAGAGGTGAAATCAGTCCATTTTGCAAGGTAAAATATTGATTTAGAATTCTATTCTTTATTTCATTTTTGTTCCTTTTCTTTTAGCTACTGCTTCATTTTGGTTGTACAGTATATAAACCATACTTGCTTTCTGTACACAAGAGTCTCAAGTGAACTTTGCATGCATTACACATTAGGACACATTTATAAATTAATGAGTAGCTATACAAATTTATGTGTATTAAAACATCTGTAGCTTCTGTCTAAAATCTAATGTTCATTCTCAACCTCCAGATATCATTTCCATATGGTTTCTGACTGGCCTGCTGCCTGAGTTTCAAAAAACAAGGGAGGCATTATTTTTATGGAAAGAGAAACTAAGATCGTACTGAAGATGGCTGGCTGAAAGGCTGCCCTAGGAAACTGTCTTCTAGGAAAATAAAACACACAGACCAGAAGAAGTTGCCAAGAATCAAATAGCCATCCGAAAACAAGCATGAGAAACCTGAAGATCTAAGTGGTTTTAGGTACAGTGTATCAGTGATAAATATACAACGTGTCCTTAAGGGGGGGAAAAAGTGAAACTGATCATGAATATCACAAAGCTTGTTCATTGTGACCCAGGCAGAGATATTAGAACATTGGGAGGAAGGCATCATTTTTTCAGCTCCTAGGGTTTACTTTCAGACAACTTTTCCTACATTTTGAAGCATTTGCATTCAGCGTGGTCCGATCTGTTCGTAATGTTAATCATTGACTATTGTTCTGCTACTTGGATGTTGATAGTGAAGCAGAGAACAATTTATCATCGTTTATTATGAGTCACTATGCACGCAACTATGCTAAATACGGCGAAATGTATTAAACACTCGTCCAACTATTTATGAAATACTTTACATAATTTAATTTGCTTTTGTACAGTTTTATGTAAATAAATTGCTTGTCATTTTTGTCTCTGCAAATTAAAATATAACATGGTCAAATGGTTTCATACTTGTAAGTGTACTTCTCTGTTGACAGGTAATTCAGTCTGACTGGACAAGAAATGAATGAATGCATGTACCAGTTTGATTTTAAATGGTTTGATTTCTGCTAAATTAAGATGGAGAAAGGAAGATGCTGCTGCAGTAATTGCTGACTTAGAGAGTGCTATGCAAACTGTCATATTACTTTGCCTAGGATAGAGCTAGGATTTCTTCAGTTTCATCAAAATAATTCCTGAGAATTATTATCTAGCTGGCAGTTAAATCTGAAGTGAAAACAGTAGAATAATTTATCATTAATGTAAAGATTTATTTTTTTCAGGTGTTATCTATAGAAATTTCACATTTAAGGCAAAATTAATTCTGAGTAAAAATGTGTCTGTAAAGGAAATGTTCATTTATAATCTGAAGTAATGACGAATACAAAAACTTAGAGGCTAAAAAGAAACATATGTGTAGTATAAAGAAAAAACTTATGGCAAAACATAGTATTTCTACCTTAGTCATTTTTTTCTTTCATTAGCTTTCTCTATGTTTTATGTTTTCCAATAATTTACTTTTTAGAAATTTATCTTTGTTTATTCCATTTAATCTTTTCCAGATTACAACCCAAATAATAATTGTTATCTTCTTATTTATTAAGTTGGTATCTATTTAAACAACGTTTATTTTCCAATCCAATTCAGAGATTTAAAAGAGAAAGAAAATACTTTCTCTCTGTACAACAGAGTGCATGGAATTTTTGTGCCATCTCACAACAGTTCTGTTAAAACCTACCTACGTGGAAAAACAGACATTCTGAAGATCCTAACCTTGAAGTTTCTCTACCATATTTTCTCTCTCTTGGATGAAAATTCAACTCACTGTGTATAAAATGACATATTATTTCTTAAATCAAAGATATCTTTATAAATTGAGATTAGTTGGCGACCTTCCTTCTCTAGGGAATGAATTAGGAGTGCAGTATGGTGAGGAAGTCTGCCACAAGTTGTAATGAGGTGAACAAGTGAAATGTGCATTTATTAGGCTTCCTAACAGTGAGAACCAAACATCACTACATAGATCGGTGTAACAGTATGTAAAATGAAACTACCACATATTCTTCTTTTAAATTCTTGATTTTAATTTGACAAACATGTCTCTTTACCCTGAACTTAACATTCTTAGGTTAAAAATATTTTATTAAAAATCTCAAACACGTAAAAATGCAATGACATATTTTAGAAAGAAGACAGAAAAGAGACCAAAAAAAGTTGCATGCATTGCTTCGAAGGCTTAAGTCTGCTTATTCTTACATCTTTGACTTGTTGGGAGAGTTCCATGTACTTACTTAGGGGATTGAATAAAAGCTGAATGCAAAGTTCTGCCAGTATTAACATTTTCCCCTCTACTAGCTTATGTACCAATCAAAACATTTTGCATGATTTAGCAGAGTGACAAAAAAATGAACTCTCCCCACCTACCTGAGTAAAATAGACATTTGTAAAGTGGGAATTTGGAGGGTAAGGTGGGAGAATCACTAATGATGCAGACTGGCAGGTAATTATCTTCACTTAACATTATACAACATACCATGGCAGGGATTGTAATTTGCATGGTATTTCTGACAGTAAATTGTAAATCTTGAAGATATAATAGCCTAATTTCTTCCTGCTCAGTACCCCTGACCTAATCTATCAAGCAATGGGATTTTGGTGGAACTTGGCTAGATAAATAGTCCCTCTAGATTTGGGGATTTGAATGACCATAAACGACAGTCAGCACTATCAAAATTGATCAGATAATTGCAGAATTCCAATTTACTTTGATTTCAACAGACTGATCTCACAAAGAAATCTGAGTTCTTGTCTTATCCCTTCTCTATTTTCATATTTAACTTTTGTTGAGTCCCTATCTCAAAGCCCCTCACCATTCTTTGAGAAGTTGTTTGCTGTGTTTTTCCCCTTTCTGAAGTAAACCTAGTTTTCCCTGAAGGTGGTGGAATGTTGGGTTGCTAAACATGGACTGGATGATTTGCAACACAATCAGCTTTATTTTAATGAAAATTTACGATATCACTACTTGAGCTCTTAGGTGGCAGAGTGAATAGGGACTGAAGTTTTATTTCTTTATTTTTTCTTTATTCCTACTCTAATACTTGTTTATAAACTTCATGGAAGAAGGTGATTAACAGAGATAATACAAATTTTCTATGTTGTAGGGAGTGAGGAAAGGATATGAATGTAAAATGTGGAAAATTAAACATTGACACTCTCCTTTAACTTTAATGTTATTTTTTCTTGTGCTGCTGTTAAATGGAAATTTTATTCATTGGTTGAATTTAATATGTGTGACCAACACAGATACAATTTTGCCTTTTTATTGAACCTCCTTTGGGAAGACGTAGAAGGTGCTTAATCGTTAATAAATGTAATATTTGTCCCCAATACTTTTGGATAATGCTAAACAAAACTTACAGTTTGCTGGTGATCTTCAGTTTTATTTTTTCCATTAAATGTTATGAATAGGATGATCCATTACCAAAAAGGTCACAAGAGAGATGCATAAGATCAATAGAAAAATGCCAGATGTAATCTTGGAGATTAGACTGGGCTTTGAAAAATAAACAATAGTAATAAATGTGCCTAATTTTTAAAAAGTCCTCTAAAGAAACACCTGAATAAGCAATCTAAAGAAAGAGATAAAAACCAGATGTTTTTTTTTTTTTGGTAATTGAATTGAAAGTACTTTACAATATTGCAAACTTAGTAAATTTAGTAGTAACTTGATAGGACAATGTCAGTTTTTTCTAAATGTATTTTATACAATATTACACTGAGCATTTTATTGTCATTTAATATATTGTAAAAAATTTGTGTACTTAAATGTTTTTATAAGGCATTTATGGAAAGGAAGTGAGGGCAAAAAATACTAGAAAAAAGTGAAGAAATTAAGCAGATGGCCAAGTCATTTACTTATAGTTTTAACACTGGCCTTTAAGAGAAAAACAATTATTTGAGTGCTTCTCCACATCCTACAGACAGCTGGAATATGCTGGAATAGTACTTCTTAAACTGGAGTTTGTGGTCCACTGAGCTGTTGTCAGGCAGCTACATCCGGGGAGGTTTGTCTGTGTGTACTAGGTGAAACCTCATCCTGGGAGAGAGAGGGTTCTTGATTCCCAACTAGAATTCTCGAACAGATCAGATGAGTGTAGGTAAGGAATCACTTAAATGCATGAATATCATTCTTAGTTGAGGAAACACATAAAAACAGACAGTTGGTTGGATTTGACCAATGAGTTACAGTTTGCTGACTCTGCTATAGATCAAAAACTACTTCAATTGATACTAAAATTCCTCTTTTTACACCTTACTTAAGTATATCTTTGACCAGGACAGTGTTTTCTTATGGATTTCTCTGGCAAAGTCACTAATAATCATGCTCAAATGTTAGGTTATGTGGTCACCCTAGTTATCAGGTTATGCCTTTTTATTGACCAGCTAGCTATGTACACTTCTCATCCCCAGATCACAAAAGGTAGACTCTGTAGCAGATGCAGCTGATGTGCCTGAAGCACTCATGCAACTGGAAAAGATATCATCATCTTCTCAATGCAGGACTTATCATCTTACATACACTTAAAAAAATTAACAAGAGCATCTTATTTTGGAAGTTTCCAGTTTAGTTTAGAGGTGGGAGATTTGCTTTTCTCCATTGGATCAAAAGCTTTTAATATACTTCCATTTAAATGTCGTGATAAGGGCTCATTATATTATATAAAAAGTACTGTGGAGTTTCATATTTAGAGCATGAGCCACACAAATTTTACAAAAAAGAAATACTGTGATAAATGTAATGACCTTCTTGGAATGGGGTAACATATTTTGTTCTTTTTTTATGTTTCCAACTTGTATACATGAATATGTTTTACATTAACAATATAAAAAGGCAAACGTTTTGAAGTATTCTAAAATATGGGCAGTTGAGTGAATAAACTTATGAATGATAAAGGAAACAATTTAGTTTTGAAACATTGGACATTTTCATCTGAAAATGTCCCCAAAGCAAATCAGATTTTAAGAAATTAGATGATCACTTTTTGTGTGTGACATTTGAAATCAGCAGTTTTCTATCCCAGCGAAGTGAATATGATATGTTAAATAATTTCAGAGATTGTTGTTACCAAACTAGTGCAAAGGAATCAATCTTCATATTAAGCCTAAATATGAACTGTCTTAAGCCTGTCAGTTAAATGTGATGTTTATTTTTTGAGGAAAGTATCATATAACTATGCAGAAAAAAAATCAACATCTATAAATGAATCTATTACCTAAGATCTGATCAACATAGAAAACATGAATGGGTGCTTGGATGTGTAAACTGGATCACATCAATATGAATTCTCCAACAGGACTATCTCTGAAGCATCCATCTTGGAATTATTATTGGAGTTTGATTGTACAGTGGTCAAGACTTGTATTTTTTTCAAATATCCAGAAATGAAGCCATCAAAAAAAGCTACTATAAAAATCTATACCT